CCCTGCCGCAAACCAGACCATAATAAAGACACGTGTTGGGTGCTTCATGGAAAGCCAGCTGATTGGAAGCCTCGGTTCGATCGCGCTCTCCATGCCAACAGTGTCGTCGCTGTCGATTACCTCCCTGCACTAGTGCTGCACCAGCGCCTAGTTCATTCAACAAAGAGCAACTAGATTTGCTGCACAAACTGATAGGCAAACCACTTGATCTGGCCGTTCCCGACCCCAATCATGGTATGTTCTACCATGTCTTCACAGTCAATCAAGGATCCCTCGATTAGTGGATCATCGATTCCGATGCTTCTCATCACATGACTGACGATGCCTCCCTTCTCCATGACTATATATCGTGCGGAGACAACTCCACCATCCGCTTTGTCGATGGCTCTGTCTCCAAAGTCACCGGGTTTGGCTCTGTGCGCATCACCCAAAACATTCTACTCCGATCTGTACGTCATGTTCCTACTTTAAATTGCAATTTAATATCCATCGGTAAGTTGACTAGTGATTTGAGATGTATTGCTAAATTTTTCCTTTACCACGTGTGAATTTCAGGATGTGGACTCGGGGATGACGATTGACAATGTTGAGTTGTGCTCGGGTCTCTACGTCATCAATGGTACTACACCACTATGACCTCACTGCAGACATTTATCTACCCATCATTCTGTCTTCAATTCTAGTGTCAATAAAGATTTCGAGATCATGTTATGACATTTTCATCTTGGTCATCCAAATTTTATGTATCTTGCAAAACTATTTTCAAATTTATTTATCAATAAAGATGTTGGCTCTTTTCAATGTGAATTTTGTCAACTTGCCAAACACACTATCACGTCATTTCCACGTGTTAATTACACCTCTTCCCGACCCTTTGCACTCATTCACAACGATATCTGGGGCCCATCCCGTGTTACAACCCTTAACGGGACGTTACAACCCTTAATACTGTGAGGTTTGCGTCTTTATGCGACATTTCGTTAATCACAAGGGTCTAACGTGGCTATTTCTTATGAAAGATAAATCTGTTGTCGGTCACATATTTGAACAATTTTACTCAATGATTCAAACACAATTTCAAACCTCAATTCAGTCACTCAAGTCTGATAATGCAAAGGATGATAATGCAAAGTGATAATGCAAAGGAGTACTTTGCTTCCGTCCTCGACTCTTATCTCTCCTCTAAAGTCATCCTCCATGTCAGTTCTTGCGTCGACACTTCAATAAAATGAGATTGCCGAACGCAAGAATCGTCACCTTCTCGAGGTGGCCCGCTGCCTCATGTTTTCCTCTAACGTACCTAAGTTTTTTGGGATGACGCTGTATCCACTGTAACCTACCTCATCAACAGGATGCCTTCTCGGGTCCTCAAATTTCAAAGTCCAGTCCAACTCCTTCTCAAATCATTTCCCCACACCAAGACAATTACCCAAAATCAACTTACCAAAGTATTTGGTTGCTCTTCCTTTGTTCACATTCATTCACACAATCGCAATAAACTTCAGTAAATGTATTTTCTTTGGCTACTCGCTTCTTCAAAAAGGGTATAAGTGCTACTCTCTTCTCATAAGAAAAACCTACAACACTATGGATACAACACTATGGATGTCACGGATGTCACATTCTTTGAAAATCAGTCTTACTACCCAAATTTTAATATTCAGGGGGAGACTTTAAGGGAATATCAGTCTTGGGGGGATAATGATTTCATACCACCACACACCAAATCCTCATCCCTTGAACCGAACTCATTATCTCCCGACTCGGATTCAACAAGTTCATCAAACTCACGTGAAAATGTACCTAACAACCAGTCTCCGTCCAGTCCTCAAAAGTCCAACTCGTCACCCATTCTTGCACCACCTCCCACACACAACAAGCACACAGACCATCCAACACATCCAACACCAATCCAAGAGTCAGAACTGGATCCAACTCCTACAAAAATCACTCAAGTACAAACACACTTGAACATGAATCTACTATACCTATGACTGATGACTCTGACATTCCAATTGCTTTAAGGAAAGGTGTTAGGTCCATCCGACCTTCATTCAGGTACTAACACACGATGCATCTGATCTCCAACTTTGTGTCCTATGAAAGACTATCTTCAGCCTACCGAGCCTATGTCATTGCATTAAAAAATACACAAGTCCCAAACACCATTGATGAAGCTCTCAAACACCCGGGGTGGAATACATGGACTGTTTCAGACCTGCCAAAGGGAAAGAAAGCAATCGACTACAAATGAATTTTCAATGTCAAATACAAGACATATGGTACAATTGAGAGATTAAAAACATGTCTCGTAGCAAAAGGTTTTTCACGGTCCTACGGTATTGATTACCGAGAAACATTTGCCCCCGTGGCCAAACTTAACACCATCAGAATCCTTCTCTCACTTACGGTAAATGAAGACTGACTGCTACATCAACTCGACGTGAAAAATGCTTTCTTAAATGGCGATTTGGAAGAAAAAGTTTACATGGTAGCACCTCCCGGACTAGAAGTATCTTTTCCAAGCAACAAAGTCTGCAAACTCCAGAAATCATTGTTGGATAGATTTGCAAAATTAGTGACAAAACACGGGTATACTCTGTGTCAAACAGATCACACTCTCTTCGTGAAACCCTCTCCCGAAAAGAAGATTGCAATTCTAATCTTATACGTCGACGATATCATCCTCACAGGAAATCACGAAGAACTCACAAATCTGACAAAGCTTCTCACTTGGGAATTCGAAATCAAAGACCTCGGAAACCCAAAGTTTTTCCTTGGCATGGAACTAGCTCGACCAAAATGAAGAATAGTTGTGTCGCAATGGAAATATACATTAGACCTGTTGAAGAAAACATATATGCTCGGTTGCAAACCCGTCGATACTCCAATGGATCCCTACAAGAAGATCGACACTGAGAAAAATAGCGCACATGTGGATAGGGGGAGATATCAGCGACTCGTGGGGCGATTCATCTATCTCTCACACACACGACCCGATATTGATTTTTCTGTTAGTGTTGTTAGCCAATTCATGAACAACCCTACGAAAAAACACATGAATGCAGTCTACAGAATCTTGAGATACTTCAAGATGACTCCAGGCAAAGGGCTACTATTTCAAAGTAATAAGGATTGAAGTATAAAAGTGTATTCAGACGCAGATTGGGCAGGGGATATCTCAGACCGACGAACGAATTCTGACTTCTGGTTATTGCACTTATGTTTGGGGAAACCTAGTCACTTTGAGAAGCAAAAAGCAGTCTGTGGTATCAAGAAGCAACGCTGAAGCTGAATTCAGAGCTCTCACACTCGGGATCTGCGAAGGAATATGAATTCGAAGAATACTCAGCGAACTCAGAATGCTAACTGAAAAAACTGTCAAACTACAATGTGACAACCATACAGTCATTAACATTGCAAAGAATCCAGTACACCATGACAGAACGAAACACATCGAGATTGATAGACACTTCATTTTAGAAAACATTGAGAGAGGAGTCCGTCGAACTTGCATACATTCATTCCCGACATCAAACGACAAATATCTTCACTAAGCCTCTCCCAAGAATTAACTTTGAAGAATTATGTAACAAGTTAGACATGTACAATCTGTACAACCCAACTTGAGGAGAGTGTTGAAAGATCTCGAAAATATTAATGATTATATTTCATATTTGTTATAACTCTATATTTAGAGGGTTATAAATTATATGAGGGATTTTGGGAATTTCTATTTATTTCTCTCCTTAAATTAGAGAAATTAGCTTTTTCTTATATTTTGTTATTATTCATTTTCTTTTCTACTGTATTCTGTTTTTATTGCTTTACTTACCAATAAGTCATGTAATGGGTATTTATACCCCTCTTTTCATCAA